TTTTTTTTTTTTTTTTTTTTTTTGAGATTTCTAATAAATTGTTTGAAATTTTAAAAGATAAAATTGCTAATTTCTAAAAAAAATTAACAGATATATATATATATATATATTCTTAGTTTTACTTTATGTTGCAGTGGTGAAAACAATGAAATTTTTAAGTATAAATCTCTTGAAGTTTTTTTTTTCTTAAAAATGGCCTTTTCCTGATTAAGGAAAATATTAATTTTGTTTATAAATAAAATTTAAATTTTATATAAATCAAAAAATAATTTCAACACACAGTTAATATCCTACAACTACTTTTAAAATGAGATGAGAGAATTTCGAGTAAAAAATATTTGCCATTTTTTCAGTCACTGCATCCAATAATTGTTTGCAGCCCAAAAGAAGGTTTAGATTAACAATCAGGAGGTGGTCACACCATGTAATTGTCTACAATTATAAATTCTCACCGACCATTTTTCAAAAGCTCTAACACATATTTTCGGATATTGCAAGTTTCAACGTTGAAAAATATAGGGCCAATTGATATGTCACAAAAAATCGCCTTGATCTGGCACGAATCTCTATGCAAAATTAAATTGAAACTTCCAAAATTAAATTTAGGTTGTCCAAGCTCTGATTTTAGCAAACTTATAGTCAAATTGAAAATCTTAAGGAGACGAACTCAAGGACACCAAATTCAGTCTAATCTGAGCCAAAATAGGCCTAATTTAAATGATAAAAATCCTTTTAGAAGCTTCAAAACATTAATTAGATTTCCAAATGATGTTCAAATATGACATGCTTATAATCAAATCGAGTGGCTTGACGAGATGAATCCAACGAGCCCAAGATCATTGAATTATGACATCATTAAGGTACTTAAATGCTCGATAAACACTTTATGATCATGGGAATCACTATGAGCTATCTGATAGAATACTCCTAACTTGACATTGATCTTCTCCATATTTACTAGCTATGCCACTTCCAAAAAAATTATAAATAGCCTCTTATTCTTCACATGAGGGAAGAGGAAAAAGGGATAAAGCTTGAGAGCTCTCTTGTACTTTCTATCTTATGCAGTCATTGTCATAGTTCTTCTTGTCCACCGATTGCGGCCAGACTTTCGCTCGTTCTCTGACTATCACCGAAACTCTTCCTAGATTCCATCAATGTTGAATCTCCTCTTAAACATTATCACCCGCCGACTATGATCCTTCTGACCACATTCGCCCGTTGACTACGATTCTTCTGACCACTTATGCCCGTCGACTACAATCACTATGACCACCATCGCTCGCTGATTATAGTCTTTCTAACTATTGTCACCCATTAACTATGTTCCTACTGATCAAATAAATATGCTATCACTCTCTTAAAAATTGCTATCACGTAAAATGCTCTATACAAAGTTGTTTCTTGTATATTGAGCCAATGCCCTATTCTTCCGAGGGACATTATTTATAATCAATTATCAATACTAGTGGATTCATTCAAACTGGGTCAGACATAGAAATTTTTTTACCTTTTAAGGATTTTTCACATAAAAAACTTTGTCTCCTATGCATTTGCACCTTTTGAGGATTTTTCACATAAAAATCAGAGTATTCTAAGAGAGAAAATCTATCCTACTACCCTAGAAAATGAGACGAGATAACAAATCTTTAGTATAAGTATAAGAAATGATAAAAATTTAAATATAACTTTGGTAGCATTATTTCTCAGATTAATCATATTATATGTTTATTATCACATATCAATTTATACTCATTTGTTCAATTAAGTTCATTTGATATATTGAATTTATTTTATATATACCATGTTGTATATTGTAACTGATAAGGGTGTGAAATGCTTTCCTTGTGGAATTAAGCTATACAGTCAATGATGTTAGCTACACATAGATCTAGCTTGTAATATGAATATGCTTAAGTTTTCTTTGATATTTTAAAAATAACGAAAGCCCACTAAATACGTAAATATATGTGTCGATCAATTAATAAAATGTTAGAGAATAGTGTCGATCCTACAAGGAAATGTTGTGCTTTATTATAATTAAATGACTACTGTTTAATTCAATTGCACAATTTATACTATTAAATGTAGAAAATGATGTTTTTTTTTTAGTTTTTTTCACTTAAAAAAACTTATAAGGGATTTAATACTAAGGAATATAAAGTATTTTGGATTAATGTATGTAAAATGATATAGTTTTCTAATGAACTTTTAATTATATATATATATATATATATATATATATCATATCATATTTATTCTTAAATCTCTGTCGAGCTTGTAGGTGTGAAAAGAGAGATTTATCGCATTCCTATAATTATACTATTTCCATAGAACCTAGAAGATTAAACATCATATTTCTAGGTATACCATCATTCCATTTTAATACTATAATTTATTCTAGCATTTCTTTCACCTTAGGAGGATTAACTTCAGTATTACTGTGTAATGAATCACTACCTATTCCAAATGTGTCTTCTAATCTTTAAATTAATTGCTTTATTAAACCATGGGTGATTAGAGGGTCTAGGATTTACTACGGGTTGATGGGGATTATTCCAATTTGCACTTTAATTAAATTGACTAGCATTTCACTGATCGTTACCCCCAATATTATTATTAGATCAACTAAAATTTGTGTGGTTCCTACAACCTGGATTGTATGTATTAAAATAAGGATTAATTTTCCTTCAAATCAAATTCATATTTTAAATCCCCCAAGCAATATTATCACCAATAACATTTAAATCATGCTCATTTATATCCATAGGTGCCCATGATCCTGAATTCACTCCCAAGTTATCTAAATTTTTAGAAATTGTAGCTACTTGGGCAGTAAGAATTAACAAAGCATTCAATTCATAAACTCCAACAACTCTCTTAGGATTCAGTATATCAGAAGGTACCTATAAATTATTTATAGTCCTTTCCTCAATTAGTTTATATGCTTTTTCGAATGGATTATGCATTAAAAATCCTTCAGCTACTGCATCTATGATTGACCTAAGGGACCTACCAATTCATTATAAAAAGTTTGAATAACCAACAAATCAGGTAAACACATGATAATTGAATCTCCTTAAATCTCTCATAAGTTTAATAAATTGACTCTCCTTTAATCCGGGTAAAAGATATGATATCATTTCTAAGTTTGACCAATTTTTAAGGTAGAAAATACTTTCGTAGAAATTTTTGTGTTAACTCATTTCAAGTGATTATAGAGTATGGGGATAAAGAATTCAACCATATCTCAATATTACTAGTTGTAACTTTCCCCCAGACCTAGGCATGCAAACATACTATCTCAATATTAATGGTTGTTTTCCTATATTTCTCCATTGAGGCTACACATCACACTATATTTTAACTACACATATGATCACTATATACATTAAATAAAGAGTGAGATAATATTGAAAACATCATTTATAATATAATGAATAAGAGTATTGATTAGTACCCAATATGATCCCTATATGATCAATCCAAAATAAGAGATCATCCAAACATGGAAGAAAAGATAAGCAAACACATTTTTATCGATATAATGATAGAAAGAAAATACAATAGAGTAATATCACCAGAATGGATCAATATATCTCCTTTACACTCCTTCTCTTGTACTTAAAGAGTTGATCCAGCAAACAAACGCTAAAAACTCAAATGATTATATCTAGTACTTCTCTAATCTCCCTTAGATTTGACTCTAAGAAGATTCCAGAGTACTCTGAAAAGTACTAAAATTAAATAAGTGATTGGATTCTCTTACAAATATAACATAATAACTATTTATAGAAAAATAGAAAATAGGCAAGTAGCGCTGCGACACTCCAAAGATCAATGCTACGGTACCCATAAACTGAACTAACGCCTCATCACTGATGTTTTTGCTCTACCACAGTGATGACTGATGTGGAACAATTATTTAGTGGACAGTCACACCGCTTCACTAGCAGAAAGTGTTCTATGGAAGTTATAACTGTAACGCCGCAACATTAATATCGTTTGAGTGTTACGGTGTCCGAGTGACGATATTTGGCTTTACGACATGAGAATTGTGGTGTTGCGACACTTACAAATAAAGAATTTGATGCTGCTAAGTTGATATTTTGACATTGCGGTGCTTCCAAACAAAGAAGTCTATGCTACCATCTCCTGTTTGTAACACTTTGGCAGTGTTCATGATGGAGCTGCGACATTTCATTAGACACAGTGAACTGTATGGTACTTAAAATTTTGTGTCCTTTTTGAGTTTTTCATGCACAACAAAAACTAAAATAATATGTTTTCACTGAAAATACAATATTCAAGATAGTACATTATTTACCCATCAAATTATGGCTAATTTAAACTATTGCTTGTTCTAAAGAAAATAAAAAATTTCTATAATACTGATTAAAGGATTAACCAAAGTAAAAACTAATAATTTAAAATTACTAAAATATAAGATAATACATCACTATTAAGAAGTAATACAAATCAATAAGGTTATAATTTTAGTTTAAAAAAATACTAATAATTAACTTCATAAGTCATTCTTGTTATTGCGTAGGTTGAATTTACAGGTTATAAGTATAAACATTGATTTTTGAATTATAAATTGAATAATAAACCTTGAAGATTAAATATGTTAGTAGTTAAGATTGAAAATTTATTAGTTCACCCTTCTTTAATTTGTATTAAGTTTTCTAACTTATCCTATGTAAATTTATGTATAAGATTGTACCAATTTTTGAATGTACTCTATTTTTTGTAGTTAATAATTTGAATATCAGTTTTACATAATAATTTCTTACTACCTTAATCGTTAAGGGTTTTATTATTATCCTAATTTTACATAATTTTTAAGTATTATTTTTACTAAGGTTAATTAAATAATAAAAATGAAAGAGATTAATAGAAGGCAGTGTAAATAATTGTTAGAATAAGGGAAGTTTTAAACAAAATGAAAATAAAAACACAAATAAATATTTAACTAACACATTCTTTCATATAAAATTATAACACAAAAGTACAAGATAAACGGTGGCCTAGGCACCAAGATACAAAACGGCTCTCATTGCCATAACATCAAAAACATGCAAAAACTCTAAAATATGGCAATTCTTCATATAATTGAATTCTACCCCAGAGCAAAAACATGAAGTGAAAAAAGGATAACAATCGCGTACTCTCTCTATAAAACAAAGTATATTAAAAAAGAAGACTTCCTTATTCTTTGTTGATCTCATTTTTTTTTATTTTGATTTGCTCTTGAGCGCATTTGACTAAGTTGATCGGGTCTTGTCGGGCTCGATTTAATTCGATTCGGTGTCGATTTGAATTTGATTTTTATTAAATTAATTTGATCGAATTGAGCCCGAATTAACCCGAGTTGAGTCGAGTTATGACTGATTTGAACCTGATCTCAGCCCCATAAGTTCGATTTAATTCTCATTAAAGCTTAAACGACTTTATGAGCAATTTGAATCCCATGCCTAAATCAAGAAACCAGATCCGACGGTCTCAATTCCGTCAGAGATTTGATCCTTCTACTGCCAGACTCTCCAGTCCCGTTCCCGTGCTTCTCTTCACGTGGAATCGAGCCGAAGCTCTCTAGACTCGGGCAAGAGGAGGTTTTGACTAGGCCGATTGGCATCCCCTCCTTTCACACTACGACATTGGCAAGCCTTCCGCCCTAGCTCCCTCCGGATCGCTCCCTCTCTCGTTTTCTCGCTGGATTCGCACAATCCAGAGTCTCGGAACTCTCTGTTCGCACGCCTCCTCTAGGTCCGAAGCCTCTCCCTCTTCTTCATTCTTTCTTTCCATTTTCCTCTCTATTTTCTTTGTTTACTTGTGTTTGGATTGCTGTATTGGTTTTGAGATATATTCTTTCAATGAATCTCTTTAGTGTTCATGTATAAAAAACTTATTTGATTATTTCACCTCTAGTTTTCATTATGTGTTTTTGGTGATAAGTTAGATAAATATTTTTGTGGATATGACAAAAGGAGTATGCATTGATGTTGGCATTGGAAGATACTTGCCTTATCTTCTTATTGTAGTTTTTGTTTTATCATCATAGGTTGAGTTTTGTTATGAGATATAAGATATGTGTTGAAACCAAGGAGGAAGATCTTGAGAGATCTTCTTCCAAGAGATAGAGAGGGAGAGGGAGGGAAGAGAGCCAAAAATCTGTAAACCGTAAATCTTATTTCTCTCTTGGCCGTCTATTACAAGCCTAAACACCCTTATTTAAAGACTCCTAAAGGTTATACAAATAGCCCCACAAATGACTACATATGCCATACACAAAACCAAACCTAAAACTAGGAACAAAACACAACAATCTCCACCTTGGTCCTAGATTTACAAAAACAAAAGATAACTACTGTTCTTTAAAGAACAACCAAAGAATGATCCTGTCGGTCTCCTCCGTCAAAAGCGTCCACCGACATTCTAGCTCCACCTCCCGACAGATCTCCTGTCGCACTGCGTCCAACACAGCCAATCCCCGAGCACCCCTAGCTCGGCTTCCGTGCCCTGTGCATCCACCTGCACCCTGCGCCTCCAGCCAGCGTCCAACGCTCTCAGCCCGCGCCTGCTCCTTGCACCCATGTTGTCTGTCACTGACCACATCTTGCACTTATCCACCCGTGCAGCGAGCCCTGCGCCCTCACCAGCGCTCAGCTCGTCACAAGACCACGCTCCGCACTGCCGCATCCGGCCAGAACCCTGCGTGTCTTTCACCAGTGCCCCGCGCTCCTATGCGGCCTCCTCGTGCATCGCACGACCTCGCATCTCCAAGCGACCCGCGCTTTCAACCATGTTCCCCAAAAACAGCCGACACTACCTCAGTGTCTCCCGCACTCCACCTGACGTCCAAAACTATGAAACTGTGGATGATATGTCAAATGTATAATATGAACTTAATCTCAAATGGCATATTCTTATGCTTGTCAAAAATTTTGATATTTATTTACAAAGAGTGTACCTTCTGATGTGAATGGAGAAATATTTATGTTTGAAGTCATGCTTTGTTGGAAAGCTTCAAGTATGCTTACTCTTTCTATTCCCTGTAATACAACACACATTGTTATGAATGACACATTCTTTGGGTGAGAGTAAAATTTTCATAATTTATTTGATTGTTGTGACTCATGTTTATGTCTTGTCCTTTGACCTTCAAATGTAGCTTGTATTGCATGATCTTTAGAGAAGATTTATATAACACAAGAGTATGATTGAGTCTTAGTTTGGCACATGTATCACATCATGTACCTCCCTATTTTGATGGTTGTTTACACTGTTTATTTATATCTTCTCACTGATTTCCCTTGTAGATATGTCCACTTTTAGCTTTACCACGACATACACATCAGACTCAAATGACATTGATTGTGACATTTTGTGAGAGGGTTCATTTCATAAGTATGGATGAACTGTATACATTTTCTTAAGCGAATTTTCATATATGAGGCTATCAAAATTTCATATGATTCATGTCAACTTCTTTTTGTGGTCTATGTTAGAAAATCTATACATGTGTGTGATGAAGTTTTGTGTACTGAATATGCACCCATTGCTTGCTTTCTTTTCGTACATTTGAGATAAATTGTTAAGTTATAAATTTTAGTTGCTTTTGATCAAAGCTATTTCTTGACACATGCATTGAAAATTAAATAAATGCACCCAAAGAATCCATCAACAAGTTTCGAAACTAAATGATGAATCCATGAAGCTCTTGCCATGCAAGTTCTTGGTAAAATATATATGCACAAAATTACCCTTATATTTGCAGAAAGACAATTTTCATTACTCAAATCACAATGGAGGCAACTAACCATGGCTCTAGGGCTAAAATCTAGGTTTTATAACTAGATCATACAACATCAATAATGCAACACAAGTGATTGAGGCTGTGGCTACTTCTCATTCGAAGATGAGTAAACTGTCTCAACCTGCACGTTACTATATATTCATCAAAAGTTATTTGTGTTGCTATACATCTGTCATAATGCCAATACTTACTGTATATAAGTTCCCAGAAAACTTTGATAAATGCATGTACACAAAAAGTTATGAAAATAAATTTTATTTTAAGCAGACAAATAAAGGAAACTTATGCCACATGTGGTTAAAATTTTGAGTCTTTTCATGAATAGAGCACCCAAGTGATCAAAAAGAAAAAAAGTAAATAAAAAATTCATAAAAAATCATAGAGAATAGTTGCAATTTTATGCATCCATACAGGTTCTTCTCAAAATCAAAAGCAACACAAATAAAAGATACCCATTGAAGAAAAGAGCTGCACAATATTAGCAATTATGAAGCTAATTATGAAAGTCTCAACTTATGGACCCTTTACTTGAGTTGATGATTTATGTCACATATAGTTTGCCAGGATAAGCACAAACACCCTTCAGAATTTCTAGGAGTTCTGTGGTACGCTTTGATTGGGATGATTCATATATTTCTACTAACGAGTGCTTGTAAAGTGTGATATGATTATTTTGGTCGAGTTGCTACACTAGAACCTGCAAGTAATACTTACATGGACATTTACAAATATGAAAGCATAACATTGCAATTAAGTAATATTTTTCTAGTTTTGCAACAAAATTTTGAACAGTTTTCTGATTAAGATCAAATAAAGAAAGTTCCGAAGCAAAATTGGATAAAACAGTGTTTGTCTCCCGTTGAAGAAGACTTCTAATTGCTGGCCATGTGCTATTATTAGCAGCAACTAGAAGAGCTTTTGTCGGCTCAAAAAGAGTCTTCTTCAATTTTTCCTGTATGAGATATACAATGCAACAATAAGCACATCTTCTTTTATGCAGATGCTAATCAAGATAATTATAATATCATTGATAAAATTACAATAAGAAATTTATTCTCCTTTTACAACTAAAAATTTTATTATAGCTACATCATATCTCATGTAAGAAAGTGAGCTCCGGTAATTTTGCGTTGCAAATTGATTTGACATGTGTATCAATATCGCGCTGAATATTTTCAAATACTTTTGAAGACTCCTAAGATGCTTGTTCAATTATTGTATCTGTATTTTAGCATTTAATCAATTTCAACATGTATCTCTTGTTCAATGAATGGATGCAACTTGTTGATGTTGATTAAATGTTAAAATACAGATGTAATAATTGAATAAGCATCTTGGGAGTCTTCAAAATTATTTGAAAATCTTCATCGCTATATTGATGCACATATCAAATCAATTTGCAACGCAAAATTACCGGAGCTCACTTTCTTATATGAGGTATGATGTAGCTATAATAAACTTTTTAGTTGTAAAAGAAGAATAAATTTTTTATTGTAATTTTATTAATGATATTATAATTATTTTGATTAACATCTGCATAGAAGAAGATGTGTTTATTGTTGCATTGTATATCTCATACAAGAAAAATTAAAGAAATGCTCTTTTTGAGCCGACAAAAGCTCTTCTAGATGCTACTAATAATAGCACGTGGCCAACAATTAAAAGTCTTCTTCAACGGGAGACAAACACTGCTTTATCCAGTTTTGCTTCAGAACTTTCTTCATTTGATTTTGATTAGAAAATTGTTCAAAATTTTGCTGCAAAACTAGAAGAATATGGCAACAACATTATTGAATCTATGGTAAGAGAAGATGCTAGTAGGGCCCTAATGCTTATGAATGATAGGTGATGATTGTTTTCATTGAGTATATCATGTTAAAGTTTTCATTTATTAAATTTGTTTAATGATATGCATCATGTTTTATAAATTTTTAATTGTGTTTAGTCATTTTTTCTGGTTCAAGACCAAGATTTTGGAATAGAAAAAAATACTTAAATGTAAATATCGAAAAGGCTTGATTAGAAGTATGTCATAAATTTGTATTTTTTATTTTTATATTATAAGTTGATGCTTACATTTAATTCTTATTTGTATAATAAATTGTTATTATTTTATTTTTACAGTCATTAAAGTTATTTTCTATTATTACCGTTATTCATTTTAATGATAAAAAGGATAATGTTGAGAACACCCTACGACTTTCTTTGTTGGATGTTCCCAGCATTCAATCATTGGATCCACTGACTTCCAACACTTGGGAAGATGTAAGATTTAATAACATTTTTGTTTTAATGTAATTAATGTGGTTCATTAGTTTTGCTCATCTCTTAGTGCAATATATTTTTTGTTGTATTCTCTCTCATAATGATTTTCATATATTTGCTTTTTTAGGTTCCATTAATCAGAACAATAATTACTCCTATCCTATGCAAGTATTTGTGGTTGCAGTTCAAAGAAGAAACAGAGTCTATTATAAATCAGGGTATTAGTAATCAGACATATTTTGAACCTCAACTTTTCTTTACTTTTAATTTTTATTAATATCTTTCTGAAAATTAAGAATATAACTATTAGAGTATGAATTTTAGGAAGTTAACTCGAACGACTGGATGTTTTCTCCTTGGGCCATTGTTACTACGTTTTTCTTGGGTGCTTTAATTTCATAACACGTCTAAGATAAATTTCTTGATAGGAATATTTAGTTATGGTCAAAATAGTGGTTATATTTAAAAGAGGTTATTATGGAATTATCGTTATTAAAGCTGTGCCACTTCTTTTTCTTAGCAACTTTTAATTCCCCTCATCATTTGAGGGATTGCTACATTGAGCTTTTTTTTAATGGAAATGAAAAATATGTTTCCCTTATTGGGATATTTGACATAGACAAGCATAAGTTCATAGAAATGCTATAATGCAACTTATGAGGACATCGAAGATCAACGGCTACGATCGTGTCTATTTATTTTCATGTATTTTATTTGTTATTTGTACTTTTCCATCTCTACCCTCACTTGAGGGCTTTGTTTTATGTTTGCCCTAGGGGCAATTGTGTCTTTTATTTTCCCTCATGTATTTGGCTATTTAAGCCCTCCCCTTCCTCTTGGAAAGTGATGATGATTATTGAAAATGAAATTCTTCTCTTTGTGTTCTCTTTGTGAGTTCATATTTTCTTGATCTCTTGGTGAGTTCAATTCTCCTAGATCTCTGTGTGAGTTCTATGGAAAGCCCAAGGTGAGGGCAAAAGCAATACCCGCCAGTCATTGGAAGAGTCCGTGGCTCGTGGTCTACCTCCGCCATCCCAATTCTCCTTATCCTCTATAACCCGATCGACGACAAGCAATCAAAAGATCCACCCCTCCCCTTGCCGCCGACCACACCAAGCCCCTTTCCCGATTGTGATGAAGCTCTCAATCATCATGCTTCCTTCCAAATTTAGTTGGGCTTGAGAGGGAAAAATTGGAGTCAATTTGAAATTCAAATTTTGAATTTCAAACTTTCCAATTTTGAAAATTCCTAATTAGGAAAGTATTTGATCCGCATTAAGATGGAATTCAAATTCAAATGGATTTCATCATAATCTTTCCTAAACCCTATGTGCCGATTTGGAACTCTTCAATGGCTCCCACAATAATCCCTTCTCTCTAGAAACCGCCGGCCTCACCATGAATGGAGCCCCCATTCATGACACCAATTAATGCATTGATTACACAAGAATTTGAAATCAATTTCAGATTAATCTTCCCCCTTATTTCTTTCAAAACCTGAAATTAATTTCAGGTTTTAAAATAACTCCCTCCCTCCTCTCTCCACTTTGCCACCTAAGCACCAATTAAATCCCTCATAACTCCCATCATAACCACCGGCCCCTCTTCCCCATTACTCTATTAATTGCAAGATTAATTGGAATTCAAATTTCAAATGATTCCCCCAATTTCATTCAAATCCTGAAATTAATTTCAGGTTTTGAAAACAAAACCCCTCCTCCTCCTCTTTACTTCTTTCCCATAATGACCTCCCAATTAACTTCTTAATTGAATCCACTCAATTCCTATTGGATTTGAAGTGTCCCAATTAGCCCTAATGGAGAGTTCTGGGATGGAATTGTTGTGTTTCCCTGCAGCCACAGCCAGCCCCGTCACAAGCCTCTTCCCCCTTTACGCCTCCTCCCTGTAGAGGAGTCCAATTCCTGGATGCTGCTGTGAACTACAGCAGAATAATTTTGATGCTCTGCCTTCCCCCAGTAGGTCCGTATTGCTGCCTAAGACTCCTCTGACGGGAGAAACTGCTGTCCCATCTCTTTAGGTGCTGTTCGAACCTGCTGTTGGAAGTATTTTGAAGGCCAAAAAGGGGTTTTCAACCAACAATTGCTGCTGCCTACACACCTCCAGTTGCTGTCCAATCAATTTGGTGGCCATCTTCTCGCTGCCCGGCTGTCCAAGAAGTCAATGATCACCTTCCGAAATGTGTCCATGCCTTGATATTGTTAGTTGTTCTTCATCTAGTACCTTGGTGATCAAACAGGAAGCTTCGTAAGCTCTCGTCTTTGGGTAAACTCTTCCCCCGGCTCTTTTATCTTCGAAGTGCTTCTCAATTGTGGTGGTAGATTCATGAAGATCACATTAATTCTTCTCCGCTAAAACCTAGTAATTAGAAGAGTTGTGTGAGGGACCTTTCATAGACTAATCTTATTATTAGTTTTGTAATTTATTGTTGGAAA